TATAGCGATGCTAGGAGCCCCTAGTAGCTTCTTGCTCCTAGTAGTAATGCCAGGAGCCCCTAGTAGCGTCCTTGCTCCTAGTAGCGATGCCAGGAGCCCCTAGTAGCGTCCTTGCTGCTAGTAGCGATGCCAGGAGCCCCTAGTAGAGTCCTTGCTCCTAGTAGTAAGGCCAGGAGCCCCTAGTAGCTTCTTGCTCCTAGTAGTAAGGCCAGGAGCCCCTAGTAGCGTCCTTGCTCCTAGTAGCGATGCCAGGAGCACCTAGTAGCGTCCTTGCTGCTAGTAGTAAGGCTAGGAGCCCCTATATAATTGCGCCTCCAGGAGTTCTTCCATCCAATTCTCCGTCTCTTGTCCCATGACCTGATTGCCTCGCAACAGGCGCGCGGTGGGTGTCTCGCGCGGTGTCCAAGCGGGACCTTTTCGAGGTTTGAAAACGATTTGGTACCGGAGTTTGTTGAGGTCAGAGTTTGCAAACAGTGCGTTCAAACAGTGGAGAAACTGTTCAAGAATATCGAAGAATCAGAACTAAAGACATCTAAAGACGGAAAAATATCAACTCCCTCTTGCTTCGTGACTAGCTTTGAGAATCGAGGTTGCAAACTGACGTCGAACACTTGCTATCCGGAAATAGCAAGTGTAGCCAGGTGGATTGAAGAGAAGCGTAAAACGGTCGAAACGTCGTTCTTGCGAACCAAAAGCCTGACAACCTGAAGTTGAACAGGTGGTGCTAGGATGAAATGAAGCAGACTCGACCATCAGGCCCCAGGTATGTGGTGCCAAGTATTATATTTTCTGAGGTGAGACAGCATCAATCTGGAAGATTCTGAAGATGCCGTTTTGAGGAGATAAAAATGGGTGACTGACATTGACGTGTCAAATTCTGGGGACCAAGCGAGCCAAAGTTCACAGCCAGTGATGACAGGAGGGAAGGGACTAGAATTCCAAGCTGTTGAATCGAGTTCACACAAGATACATCATGCTCTCGTTCTGCATTCGACGGAAGTGGAGCTCTTATTTCAAGAAACAAGAACCAACTCCTATATTATTGTATTATACATTTTGGGCATCCACCAAACCATGGCTGCTGGATGGAGGGATTGAAAATCATCCCAGGACCCCAAGACCCCAAAAATCGTTGAAACGTTAACACTTTGCGCGGGTTTGCCCTCCGACTCAAAACCAACTCGCGCCCACCCCAATGAACCCCCATCCGCTTGGTCAGACTGTGTCTGGACCAAGCCTTTCAATAAAATACAGCCCGAGAAACTGAAGGCGCACATCTTTCCGAAGCTCCTCACCACCGCCTCGTCCTCGTCGTCCGCTTCCGCCGCTGACTGCACGGAGTCCCAATCCTCACGGATCACTTTCAGCCGCTCCCCGTAGCCTCGGGGGCGTACGCGAACCTGAGGTTGAAGTGATGAGCCTTTTTGGACACCAGTTGGAACCTTTTGGTAGGGGGGAGCCCACATGACCGGGTTTGCAGCGCAGAAACGCTGGCCGCGTGTGAGAACCCCGGAGCCATGTTCTTCGATCGTACTTGCAAGGGAAAAGAAGAAAAAAAACATGACACATCATGACACCAATACCACCCCCGAACACGACACCTGCGACGGCCGAAACATGCGTGCTCTCTTTGCACGGCAAACGGAAGCCCAGCCGTCGGGGACGGGGTACCCTGTCAGTGTGTAATGTGCCATGTGTATATATGTGATATTGTTGTGTATGCGATATGTAATTTAAGTGCAGATTATATGTGGCGTTCTTTGTTTCACTAATGATGTTGTCTTATCGTCTTAGGTACTCTTAGATTGTCTTTTTGTCATGAATTCATGATTTCTGTGTTGCGTGGTGTTCTTCGCCGAATTCGTTCTTCTCCTCTTCGTTCTTCCATTTCCCACGGTGGCAAAAATGGACTCCGAATGAAACTGGATCAAAAGCCTTGGGCGAATGGAGCCGCTGGGATCGGCGAATGCTGAACAGCTCATTTCGGATCAACAAACCTGCTGGTGAAATAAAACAGAAAACAAGCTGCAAACTGCAGATTTCATAAGTCCCAAGCAGAAAAAGACATGCTGGTAATGGTAAGTTGATTTGCAGAAAACGCAGATGTCATGAAATCACCTGAATTGTTCGGCAAATGATTCACAAACACTTGTTCCACAAGTGAAAACCCCGCCGCCAGTCACCCACACACATGCTCCATCCTCCCGCCATCTTCCTGTCCAGGCCGCTAGTGCTCACGAAGCTGTAGGCGGAGCCCGTGTAGCTGAGCACTTGCCGCCAGGCGGCGATGCTGCCAGGCGGTGAGTCCGTGGCGTTCTGCTGCAGGAGTTCGCCTCAGAGCGAGCGAACACGCACGGGTTGCGAGCGGTAGCGAGTGGCGGCCTGAGCTCGGAGCTCGGAGCGCCCTGTCCCATTGGCAATCCGACTGACTAATAAAACGCACCCGAAAACGGAACACTTCTCTAATTGACTACTCTACGTATAAGACGTCCTTTCCCCCGAATAAACATTCTTCCCAGAAACAACGCAAGCAGCGGCCTGACCAACTCGCCACGCAGAATTACTCTGAGACCAGGCAGTTTCGCAGTTCCGCCGCAGAGGTATTGTTGGGTTACTGGCCATGCCAAATCCTTGTGAAAGCATAGCTTTTTGTGCCTCCTCTGACCTCGTGCCATGCTCACACACTTCATCGGCTAAGTGGCCAAAGGCGTCTTTCACAGCCTCCACACGCATCTCGGTGATCTCATAGCCCAAGTGTCGAAAGGCCAAGGTTTCGACATAGCCTACCGTCGGCCCTACGTCGACGCACAGAGATCTGCCGAAAACAAAGGTTTGGCGTCTTGACGAGCCGAAGAATCATTGAAGAGAGAAAACAGGAAAACGCCCCTACTGTAATACCCAACTGTTTCCATTCACACCTTTTCGGGAAGGCCAATTAATTGTCGTGTATTCTAGGACCATCCTGTCAGGGTATGGATGGACTACCCTACACTGCTTAGGGATCTCCAGCCCAGGACACCCAAACATACCCAGACAGGATGGTTCAGGTTTGTGTTAGCCTCTGATATCTTGCCTGTTCTTTCGACCTCAAGATCATCTGTCACTCACTCGCTCGCTCGCTCCCTGCATGGAGAACCGTCCGCAGTCGGTGGGGTGAACCAGCCGAAAACCGCTCAATGCTTTGTCCGATGTCAACCCAGATCGTATCTGTGTCCAGGAAGGAGTATGCTCTGTGCGTAGATTCCCATACATGTTATATAATGTTGTAAAATTTATAAATCATATAGCCATGCAAGCATGCAATGGTGTTCATGAACAGTTTCCAAAAAGCACCCTGCACGGGTAACCACTCCATTGGGCGGCAGAAAAATAAAAACACTCCCTGAAATCCTTCCGTCAATCCAAGGAGCTTTTCATCTCCTCGGGGTCTTCACACTTGTCACACAACAATCGGAAGCCATTGTAGAGGCGCATAGACATCAAGGAACGTGGTGTGCTGAACTTGTCCTGATGAAGCACAGCGGCAAATATCTGTCCCAAAGCTTACATGGCTCACAAATCCATGGTCACCACCATTCAGCACACGTTTGTTCCGATGGTCGTTTCGCCATACAGGATTCTCAATCCCAGTGTTGCGACTGGCACCAGTCTGGTGAAATCCCATCATCAGCTGAATTGTTTTTATCCTCGCTTCGACTTCGAACCAAGCTAAAGATGTGGAAAGGCACCACACTTGCGATCAGTTCCCCAAAAAAACATCCTAAACGTGTCAGTTCGAGGTTTTCCCATGAAGAAAACACAGCATAAAGAGCATCGGTGGCACGTGTTTCCTTCGCCTCTCGCTGCAAACGATTGCCATGCTGATTCGACTCTGCGCCGCTTTTGGATGGGCGAGTGGACCCATTCGAACAGGTGAAAAACGTGGAACGAAGGGGTGTGGTGAACCGCCAAACATGTCAGAACCGCCAAACACCCGTCACCATGACTGAGCAGAGCCAGAGCCAGGTGTTGGAGTATTGTTCCTTCAGACCAGGCGAGCCAAAGTTCTGGCGGAAACGATGCCCAACAAGCCCAAACGGATTACCATCTTGGGACAACCAGTGACATTCGATTTCGGAGGAGAGGCTCCACGAGCCGAACTAGAGGCTCACCGAAGCTTTTCGGAACGGTGCACCACGAGCATCCGTGAGCTTCCGTTCTGTGCCGTAAGCATCGACCCAGGAAAGTCCTTAATGGAGATCAATGCCCCTGCAAGGCTGGAGTAGATGGCATCGCCCACCATCCCTTTGTCGTCGCCCATGGCTTTGTTGAGGATCCTGGGAAGGAGACCAAGGCGGTCAGGGCCAAGGGTGGCAACAAAATAACATAGAAGACATATCAAAATTGGTAGTTGAAGGCCAATGCACAAGTGCTCAAAAAAGATGTCCCATACTTCAATGCAAAGGGAACTCACGCGTCGATCTGTTTCAGCCTATCTGTCAAATGTTTCCGTGCAGATGTGTGCATCACTCAATCTCACACACGCACACACTTGGAAGAGAGTTCTTATGAGCCTAAATTCAGTGTTGTTCCAAGCATTCACTCTTTTATGCAATACCGCATTAGCGCAAGAACGACCTCGAAGCTGGAAACAAACCTGAAAAGGGGCCGAGAACAACATGTAACTGTTTGTGCATCACCAGCTGAAGTTCAAAAGTTATGCAATTACACGGAAGGGCAGAGCTTTGCAAGTCTTCTCTGCCCTCCTGCATGCGAATTGTCGTGCAGGTGTGTGAGAAAATACCCTTTGGAACAGGGGGGGAGAGAAAGAACCGAGAAAGAGAAACGAAGAAACAGGAACGAAAATACGCAGTTCAACACCTCTGTCACAACCTACTGTAACAAGCCTTTACACAAGCGAGAAAAAACAAGAACCGGAAAGAGAAGAGGAAAAAGAAGAGACACCGCTTCCCAGCACACAAGTGTCGAATGAAACTTAAGGTGTTGTTCCCTCAAGAACTGTGTGTAGAATACACACAACCGAAGCCGTGCATGTGCGGCGCAACCTGTCTTACACCTAATACGCCTTTACAAAGGAGAGAAAAGCAACGAAGAGAAGAGGCAGCCCGAAAGAGAGAAAAATAACTTGTGGAAAGTGGGTTAGAAAGCTATAGAGCTGTATATAGTATACATGAACTGCATGCATGAGGGTGAGTTCACGCTGGAACTCAGGCATATGTTTAGAAGCTCTGCAGCATAATCAAGTTCAATGGTAATCCGCAATTCAGTGGAGATTCGAGTAATGACGCAGTTCAGAGGAAATCACTCCAACTACGGGAGTATTGAGACGGCGCCCAAAAATTGGTTCACACATGTTCACACAGCAAACCAAAATGGGACGATGCTGCGAAGTCACACTCAGAAACGAGCTCATATGAGCCTAAATTCAGTGTTGTTCCAAAGTGCAGTAACTCTTCAATGCAAATACCGGAGTAATTAATAAAGTTATGCGGGTACACGGAAGTGATCAGCTTCCGCTTTCTCGGACTATTGCAAAGAGCTTCGTTGGGCAGAGCTTTGCAAGTACTCTCTGCCCCCTGCATGCTACAGTAGTTGTCGTGCAGGTGCGTGAGAAAGTACCCTTTGGAACAGGGTTTGACAACAACAACAACAAGAAGAACAACAACAACAACAAGAACAACAACAACAACCTGCTGGTTCCTATCCTTCGCGTCGTCTAGTCAAAAAGGAGGGTCTCTGGCTCCCGTGGCCCCCATCCGCTACCCTCATCACCGGCCCTTTGCGAAATCTTCCACACTCCACCTGATGAGAAGTTCACCATCGTGAATCCGCCTTCGAAAATGGACCCTGCATGACCCTGGCTCAAAGAACCCGGGATGTTCTTCGCATCTGTCCATCCAACAACCACCCTGCCATGGAAGTCATAGTTTCAGAAATGTCTAGCAAATTGCTTCCTTGCCCACCCAGTACGTGTCACAACCCTCAAATAGCTTTTAATTAGACACCATTTCAGTTCGGGGACCTCCAAAGTCGGGTAACATCAATTCACCTCCAGGCGGCTCAAAGGATTGTCTCAAGACCACGACCTCTGACTGCCTCAGGTCGGCGGCGGTCACCACCCACCAGTTCGCAGCGGCCCACCGGTGGCCGATTCCTCATTAAAGACTCAGAAACCGACCTGTTTCTAATCCTTCGAACGTGGCATCAATGTGGAACCTGCGAATTTCCGTCACCATCTCAGTCCCACTTGCAGGACGAACTATCCTGCTAGTCGGCTTGTCGGACTATCCGGCACAGAGAATTGCAATTCAACAAAAATAAACACCGACCCTCCCGTTTCATACTCATTCATTCGGTGCTATGACTGTTCCATCTACCCTGTCACCTATCCTGCCAGAGGCACCATTAGGAGATTATTGAATATCAACATAAACTGGGTCTAAATGCGCGATAAAGTGATATAATA